TCACTTTCTCTTTTTCCTATTCACAGTGTCTATTTCCTCTAGGAATTTGTTCCTAATTTACGCTAGTGGTCCTCCCACTAACCTAACTATGAACAGAATTCAAGACCTTACCCTTAGAGGATATAGTAGGTATTATTCTATTTTTGTATTTATTTACTAAACAATATCTTCTCCATTAAGTGGTCAAAGGATAGAAATTGTTTCTATACCATCAATGCCAGCTTCACATAAAGTACCCCCTACCAAATTAGAGAACCTTTCTAAATCAACTTCTTTTCTTTTGTTGGGGTTTTTGTTATTGTTGTTGTTGCTGGGTTTTTTTTGGAGACAGGGTCTTGCTATGTAGCACAGGCTGGCTTGAACTGGCTTGTATAGCCCAGGCTGGCTTCAAACTCAGGGTGATCCTCCTGCCTCAGCCTCCCAAAACATGAGATTACAGGTGCGCACCTCCATGCCCAGCTAAACCAACTTCTGTGTAACCAACTTAATAGAATAATATTCTCCCTTTCTTCAGTAAAATACACTGAGTAGTGCCAACTACCAGCTGAACCCTTGAAGACAGTAGACTATACTTTTAAGAAGCTCTTATGTTTGCACTCTCGTTTGTGCATGCCTAATGAGAATCAATTATGTACTGCAACTTATTTATACCAATTGTACCACATACTGCCATTACGTGATTACTACATAAGCCAATGAAATACAAACATAATGCAAAAGGTGTGTTATGCTCCATGTTGTGTTCCCAAAAATCTCATGTTGAAATCCTGATCACCAAGGTCATGGCATTAGAAGTATGGGAACTTCCAGAGGCAATTAGATCATTTCGTGAATGGGATTAGTGCCCTTATGAGAGATCCTGGAGAGTAAGCTAGTCCTTTCTGCAGCATGAAAACACAGGTCAAAGGTGCCATCTATAAATGACTGCAGATCAGGCCTTCCTCAGAATACCTTCATCTTGGGCTTCCCAGCCTCCAGAACTGTAAGAAATAACTATTTTATAAGCCACTCGACGTACGTTTTTCTATTATAGCAGCCCAAAAGGATTAAGACAAGGTGTTTGTACAGGTTAGGTTGAATGCTTCGGAAAGACTCAGTAAAAGCAAATGAAGACTAGAGAAAAATATACATGTAATATTTTACAAACTGCATGTCTAAAGTCTTCCAAAATCTTTGAAACTGAAATTTAGAGATCATACATTATAGGTATGGTTTGTGGAAGATAATACAGAGTTCTAATCAAACAACCCACATCCAGGGGCTGGGGATTTAGCTCAGCGGCACAGCACCTGCCTGGCAAGCACAAGGTCATGAGTTCGATTCCCGGTACCAGAAAAAAAAAAAAATCACCAGAGTTTAAGCCCAGCGTGGTGGCGCACACCTGTAATCCCAGCACTCAGGAGGCTGAGGCAGGAGGATGGTTGTGAGTTTGAGACCAGCCTGGGCTACAAAGTGAGCTCAAGGCCAGCCTGAACTGCATAGGGAGACCCTGTCTCAAAAAGACCAAAAAAAAACCCACATCCAAAGAAAACATAGAAATCAAAATATTACCAATAGTTTTTTGG